ATTTGCAATGATGTGGATGGAATTGGAGGGTGTTATGCTGAGTGAAATAAGTCAATCAGAGAAAGACATGTATCATATGACCTCATTGATATGAGGAATTCTTAATCTCAGGAACCTATCTGAGGGTTGCTGGAGTGGGGGTATATTGGAGGGATGGGTTGGCTGGGTGATAAACATTGGGGAGTGTATGTGTGCTATGGTGAGCGCTGTGAATTGTGCAAGACTGTTGAATCACAGATATGTACCTCTGAAACAAATAATGCAATATATGTTAAGAAAAAAAAAAGAAGAAGAAAAAGATAGCAGGAGGGGAAGAATGACCAGGGGGGTTGGGAATCAGAGGGGGAGACGAACCATGAAAGACAATGGACTCTGAAAAACAAACTGAGGGTTCTAGAGGGGAAGGGGGTGGGGGATGGGTTAGCCTGGTGAAGTGTATTAAAGAGGGAACGCTCTGCCTGGAGGACTGGTGTTATGCACAAAAAAATGAATCATGGAACACTATATCAAAAACTAATGATGTAATGTATTGTGATTAACATAACAATAAAAAATGTAAAGTAAAAAGTGATTAGAGCAGAGATCAATGAATTAGATACAAGAAACATAGTAGATCAGATCAACAAAACGAGAAGCTGGTTCTTTGAAAGAATTAATAAGATCAATACACCACTGGCCAGACTTATCCAAGAGAAAAGAGAAAGGACCCAAATTAATAAAATTATGAATGAAAGGGGAGAGATAATGACTAACACCAAGGAAATAGAAATAATCATTAGAAATTATTATCAACAACTATATGCCAATAAACTGAGCAATCTGGATGAAATAGATGCCTTCCTCAAACCTATAAGCTGTGAAGACTGAAACAGGAAGAAATTGACAACCTGAATAGGACAATAACCAGTAACGAGATTGAAGCAGTGATCAAAACTCCCCCAAAAAACAAGAGTCCAGGGCCTGAGGGATTCCCTGGGGAATTCTACTGAACATTCAATGAAGAAATAATACCTATTCTACTGAAGCTGTTTCAAAAAATATCAACAGAAGGAAAGCTTCCAGACTCATTCTATGAGGCTAGCATTACCTTAATCTCCAAACCAGGCAAAGACCCCATCAAAGGGGGAATTTCAGACTGATATCCCTGATGAATATGGATTCCAAAATCCTCAACAGAATCCTAGCTAATAGGATCCAACAATACATTAAAAGGATCATCTACCACGATTTATCCCCGGGATACTAGTGTGGTTCAACATTCGCAAATCAATCAACGTGATAGAACACATTAATAAGAGGAGAGAGAAGAGCCATATGGTCCCTTCAATTGATGCAGAAACAGCATTTGACAAAACACAGCATCCTTTCTTGATTAAAACCCTTCAGAGTATAGGGATAGAGGGAACATCCTTCAATTTCATAAAATCCATCTCAGAAAAACTCGCAGCAAATATCATCCTCATTGGGGAAAAATTGAGAGCCTTTCCCTTGAGATCTGGAACACTTCAAGGATGCCCACTTTCACCACTATTGTTCAAAATAATACTAGAAGTCCTAGCAACAACAATCAGACAACATAAATAAATAAAAGGCATACAAACTGGCAAAGAAGAAATTGAACTCTCTCTCTTTGCAGATGACATGATACTTTATGTGGAAAATCCAAAAGACTCCACCCCCAAATTCCTAGAATTCATAAAGCAACTCAGTAATGTGGCCGGATACAAATCAATGCTCAGAAATCAGTTGCTTTCTTATACACTAACAATGTAACTGTAGAAAGAGAAGAGAAACGATTCCATTTGCAATAGCACCAAAAACCATAAGATTCCTCAGAATAAACCTAACTGAAGAGGTAAAAGATCTATATTCTAGGAACTACAGAACACTCATGAAAGATATTGAAGAAGACACAGAAAGGTGGAAAAACACTGCATGCTCATGGATCAGAAGAATAAACATTGTTAAAATGTCTATGCTACCCAGAGCAATCTATACCTTAAGTGACATCCAGATCAAAATTCCAATGACATTTATCAAAGTGCTGGAAGAAAGAATCCTAAAATTTGTATGGAATCAGAAATGACCCCAAATCGCCAAGGAAATGTTGAAAAAGAGAAACAAACCTTGGGGCATCACGTTGCCAGGTTTCAAGCTATATTACAAAGCTGTGATCACGAAGACAGCATGGTACTGTCACAAAAATAGATTATATAGACCAATGGAACACAACAGAAAGCTCACATATGGACCTTCAACTCTATGGTCAAATATTCTTCGACAAAGCAGGAAAAAATATGTAATGGAAAAAAATTCTCTTTAATAAATGGTGCTGGGAAAATTGGACAACCACATGCAGAAGAATGAAACTCGATCATTCTCTAACACCATACACAAAGATAAACTCAAAAGGGATTTAAGACGTCAATGTGAGACAGGAATCCATCAAAATCCTAGAGGAGAACATGGGCAGTAACCTCTTTGACATCGGCCACAGCAACTTCTTTCAAGATACATCTCCAAAAGGTAGCGAAACAAAAACAAAAATAAACTTTTGGGACTTCATGAGGATAAAAAGCTTGTGCACAGTACAGGAAACAGTCAACAAAACATAGAGGCAACCCACAGAATGGGAGACGATATTTGCAAATGACACTACAGATAAAGGGCTGGTATCCAAGATCTATAAAGAAGTTCTCAACCTCAACACTCAAAAAACAAATAAGTCAAAAAATGGGCAGAAGACATGAACAGACACTTCTCTGAAGAAGACATACAAGTTGCTGACACTTGAAAAAATGTTCATCATCATTAGCCATCAGGGTAATTCAAATCAAAACCACACTGAAATGCTACCTTACAGCAGTTAGAATGGCAAAAATTGACAAGATAAGAAACAACAAATGTTGGAGAGTTTGTGGAGAAAGGGGAACCCTCTTACACTGTTGGTGGAAATGCAAGTTGGTACAGCCACACTGTGGAGGTGTCTCAGAAAATTAAAAATAGAGCTACCCTGTGCCCCAGCAATTGCACTCCTGGGTATTTATCCCAAAGACACAGATGTAGTGAAAAGAAAGGCCATATGCACCCCAATGTTCATAGCAGCAATTGTTGCAATAGCATACTGTGGAAGGAGGCAAGATGCCCTTCAACAGATGAATGGATAAAGAAGATGTGGTCCATATATACAATGGAATATTACTCAGCCATCAGAAAGGATGAATACCCAACTTTTACATCCACATGGATGGGACTGGAGGAGATTATGCTAAGTGAAATAAGTCAAGCAGAGAAAGTCAATTATCATATGGTTTCACTTATTTGTGGAACATAAGGAATAGCATGGAGGACATTAGGAGGAGGAAGGGAAAAATGAAAGGGGAGAAATCAGAGGTGGAATTGAACCATGAGAGACTATGGACTCTGAGAAATAAACAGGGTTTTAGAGGGGAGGGGGGTGGAGAATGGGTTAGCCCAGTGATGGGTATTAAGGGGGGCATGTACTGGTGGAGCACTGGGTGTTATACGAAAACAATGAATCATAGATCACCACATCAAAAACTAATGGTGTATTTTATGGTAACTAACATAACATAATAAAATATAATTTAAAAAAATCGAATGAAAGCCACACAGATTCTGTATGAATTATACTTTCTATTTTCATTGATGCTTTAATGCTTCTTTTTGCCTTGTTGTGTCATAATAAAAAATGAAAGTAAAACTAAGATTGTGGATTAAATCAATTTTTCTATACCTGTACCATTCTGTTAAAATACTTGAAATTGACAGATTGACACATTTCACTCTCTTTGGACAGAGTGACAGAAAGCATGATGCACACTTTTTTTTCACTTAACTTCTAAATCCTTTAAGAGATGGGGAATAATTAATTTGTGAATTGATCAACTTATTAAAAGCTTACTCATTTCATTATTTTAATAATAAAGTCATAAATTACATTACAAAGGTAATCATTTTACTATAATTCTGATTTAATTTTGTGTTTTTCATAAAATAAATAAGCCAATATAGTGAAACCTGTCCATTTTCTGGTTTAAACTAATGGGGAAATGGTTATGTATTATATATTATATATATATATATAATATGTTATAAACCTGGAAATATATATATACACAACATGATATATAACATATATTATGTGTGTATGTACATACACACAGTGTGTGTGAAAATGTAGGAATAAAGTACATTTCATGTTTCATGGGAACATATTGTGACACAATTTTTTCACAGAGGTGAGATGAATGATATTTCAAGAAAGGTAGGGAGTGATGGTAACATTTCAGTTGAGCTTTAAGGAAAAAGTAGAGGTTTACAAGATAAACATGGATTCCAGAGTGAAACAATTTGTGCGTGAAAGTCGATGGCATGGTTGAAGAAGAGCAAAGTAGATAAAACATAAGAACTTGGATTCATGCAAAGGATGTTTGGGAAGAATGAAAAACTACTGTGACTGGACTATGTTAGCTTCTTACAGAATTCTGTGTCCTTTACTATTCCTTATGGCATTGTCTAAAAACAACCCAGAACTCAGAACAAATAATCCATGAGCTAAGAGTAGCCCAGTAACATAATACCTACAAGTCATATATTTTCTGAAACAAGAACATTTCTAATTACCAGTGTTCTCAAGGACCCTTTCACATCTTTGTTTCTCAGAGTATAGATAATGGGGTTTAAGACTGGGGTGACTGTCGTGTAGAAAAGAGAGACAAATTTTCCCTGTTTTTTTGAGCCACTTTTGGCTGGTTGAAGGTACATAAAGATGATGGTTCCATAAAAAATAATGACCACAAACAGTTGAAAATAGAGCTACCATACGATCCAGCAATTGCACTACTGGGTATTTACCACAAAGATACAAATGTAGGGATCCTAAGGGGTATGTGCACCCCAATGTTTATAGCAGCAATGTCCACAATAGCCAAACTGTGGAAAGAGCCAAGATGTCCATCGACAGATGAATGGATAAAGAAGAGGTGGTATATATACACAATGGAATATTGTGCAGCCATCAAAAGGAATGAGATCTTGCCATTTGCAACGACGTGGATGGAACTGGAGGGTGTTATGATGAGTGAAATAAGTCAATCAGAGAAAGACATGTATCATATGACCTCACTGATGAGGTTCTTAATCTCAGGAAACAAACTGAGTGTTGCTGGAGTGGTGGGGGTTGGGAGGGATGGGGTGGCTGGGTGATAGACAGTGCATAGGGTATGTGCTATGGTGAGCACTGTGAATTGTGGAAGACTGTTGAATCACAGATCTGTACTTCTGAAACAAATAATGCAACATATGTTAAGAAAAAAGAAAAAGAAGAAGATAGCAGGAGGGGAAGAATGAAGGGGAGTAAGTCGGAGGGGGAGACGAACCATGAGAGATGATGGACTCTGAAAAACAAACTGAGGGTTCTAGAGGGGAGGAGGGTGGGGGGATGGGTTAGCCTGGTGATGGGTATTAAAGAGGGCACATTCTGCGTGGAGCACTGGGTGTTATGCACAAACAATGAATCATGGAACACTACATCAAGAACTAATGATGTAATGTATGGTGATTAACATAACAATAAAAAATAAAAAAAAATAATGCCCACAATCAGGTGGGAAGAACAAGTCCCAAAAGCCTTCTGGCACCCTACTGCTGATTTTATCCTCAGCACAGCTTTTGTTATAAAGCCATAGGAGACTAAGATGAGTGACACAGGGACAATTAGAAAAATAACACTAGCCACAAAGAGTTCTACTTCATTGAAAGTTGTGTCCACGCAGGCCAGTTTAATGAGCACAAGGAACCTCACAGAAAATGTGGTCCAGTTTGCGATGACCACAAAGGGGCAGCTGCACAGTAAGGGAACACTGAATTAAGGAGGTGATGAGTCCACTGAGCCATGCTATGCTGGCCAGAGATGCACAGAGCTGAGGATGCATTATAGTTGTGTATTGCAGAGGTCGGCAGACAGCAGCATATCGGTCATAAGCCATGACTGCAAGGAGAATACAGTCAGAGGAGCCCAACCCCATGGCCACATAGAGTTGGGTGACACATCCACTGTAGCTCATGTTTTTTTTTTCTTACTCATGGTAACCAGCAACTGTGGGACAACACTTGTGGCAAAGCAGATGTCCACACAAGAGAGATTGCTGAGGAAAAAGCACATTGGAGTGTGGAGTTTGGTGGCTAAACAAGATACCAAAATGATGGCAGTGTTCCCCAGGATGTTCAAGATGTAGAAAAGTAAAATTATGACAAAAAGGATCCTTTCTAGTTGGGGCTCATCTGCAAATCCCAGGAGAAGAAATCCCTTTTCAGAACCGTTGTTGCTTTCCTCCATCATCCTGCAGACTTCAATTTATAAAAGGATTAATATCCTGGAGAAAGAAAATGATAAGGTGAACAATGGTAAACTGTGGTATTAATCTAATATAATTATCTCCCTTTTATAACATTCAGTCATATTGTAAAGACTGATAACACTTTGCTCAATGTGTGTTAGTTGACGGAAAATGTCTCCTACTTCTGTTTCCTTGAGCACATTTCACTCTTTCAAATAAGAACAGCACTAATTCAAACACCAACACAATATCTTCACTTGGAAACAGGCTTCATGCAATGAACAGCAAGCTGGAAAAAGCAGAGGAATGAATTAGTGATATAGAAGGCAAAATGGAAAATAATGAAGCTGAACAAAAGAAACAGGAATTATGTAACATAAGAATAGACTTAAGGAACTCAGTGACTCCATCAAACATAGTAACACTAATATTATAGGAGTCCCAGAAGAAGAAGAAGAGAGAAAAGGGGCAGAAAATGTGTTTAAAGAAAAAAGAGCTGAAAACTTCCTTATTCTGGGGAAGGAAACAGACTTCCAGATCCAAGAGTGTGACTTGAGAATGCCAAGAGAACTCCTAACAAAACAAACAAATCCAGGCCAACACCAAGACATATTGTAATTAAATTTGCAAAATATAGTGCTAAAGAAAAAAACTTAAAAGCAACAAGAAAAAAGAAGTTCTTAACTTACAAGGGAAGACCCATAAGTCTAGCTGGAGATTTCTCAACAGAAGCTTGGCAAACAATAAGAGAGTGACATCATATATTCAAAGTGCAGAATCGGAAAAATCTGCATCCAAGAGTACTCTACTCAGCAAGGATATCATTCAGATTAGAAGGAGAGACAAAGAGTTACCCAGACAATTGAGCCCCATGTCAGGCTCCCTGATCAGTGGAGAGTCTGCTTCTCCCTCATCCCCTGCTTGTGCGCTCTCTCTCTCTCACTCACTCACTAACTCTCTCTCTGTCAAATAAATAAAAATTTAAAAAAAATTAGCCAGAGCCTTGGCAGGAGGTGGTGGAGCTAAGAGGCAGCATTGTCTTAACTGAGATCACCATACCAGTCATTGCCAGGGATAATGAGGTAACACGAAGTGAAGAATGACTTTTGTTCAACATAATACTGGAAGCTTTAGGGCATAGCAATCAAGCAAGAAAAAAATTAGAGGTATCTATATTAGTAGATAAAAAGTTAAACTCTCACTATTTGCAGATGATATATTATATATAGAAAAATCTTAAAAAAAAAAAAAACAAGGACACCTGGGTGGCTCAGTCATTAAGCATCTGCCTTCAGCTCAGGTCATGATCCCAGGGTCCTGGGATCAAGTCCTGTATTGGGCTCCCTACTCGGCAGGAGGCCTTCTTCTCCCTCTCCCACTCCCCCTGCTTGTGTTTCTGCTCTCGCTATCTCTCTCTCTGTCAAATAAATAAATAAAATATTTTTTTAAAAAAACCCCAGTTACTAGAAATAACAAATGAATTCAGTAAAGTTGCAAGATACAAAATTAATACCCAGAAAATGATAGTGGTACTATACACTAATATCAAAGTAGCAGAAAGAGAAATTAAGAAAACAACTCCATTTATTAACTGCATCAAAAATAATAAAATACCTAAAATAAACTTAACCAAGAGAGTGGAAGACTTGTACTCTGAAAATTATAAAACACTGATGAAAGAAATTAAATATGACACAAATAAATGGAAAGAAATCCCATGCTCAAAAATTGAAAGAATTAATATTTTTAAAATTTCTATATTGCCTCAAGCAAAGTACAGATTCAATGCAATCCCTATCAAAATACCAACATTTTTCAGAAAATAGAACAAATAATACTAAAATTTGTATGGAAACAAAAAAAAAACCATGAATAGTCAAAACAATCTTGAGGGAGAAAAACAAAGCTGGGGATATAACAAGTTCACAATTCAGGATATACTACAAAGATATAGTAATCAATACAATATGGTGCTGCACAAAGACTAGACTCATAGATCAATGGCAGAGAATAGAGAGCCCAGAAACAAACCCACAGTTATATAGTTAGTTGTTCTATGACTAAAGGAGACAAGAATATAAAATCAGAAAAAGTCTCTTCAATAAACGGTGCTGGGAAAACTGGAAAGATATATGCAAAATAATGACACTGGACCACTTTCTAACACCATACATAGAAAATAACCTCAAAATGGATTAAATATGTGAGACCTGAAGAGATTAAATGTGAGACGTGAAATCATAAAAATCCTAGAAGAAAGAGTAATTTCTCTGACATTGACCATAACAACATTTTTCTAGATATGTCTTCTGAGGCAAGGTAAACAAAAGCAAAAATAAATTAGTGAGATGACATCAAAATGAAAAGCTTTTGCACAGCAAAGGAAACCAACACAACAAAAAGGCAACCTACTGGATAGAAGATATTTGCAAATGGTATATCTCATAAGGGGTTAATATCCAAAATATATAAAGAACTTATACAACTCAGCACCAAAACAACAATCTGATTAAAAAATGGGCAGGGCGGCTGGGTGGCTCAGTTGGTTAAGCGACTGCCTTCGGCTCAGGTCATGATCCTGGAGTCCCAGGATCGAGTCCCACATGGGGCTCCCTGCTCAGCAGGGAGTCTGCTTCTCCCTCTGACCCTCTTCCCTCTTGTGCTCTCTATCTCTCATTCTCTCTCTCTCTCAAATAAATAAATAGAATCTTTAAAAAAAATAAAAAATGGGCAGAGATCCTCAATAGACATTTTTCCAAAGAGGACATACAGATGGCCAATAGACACATGCAAAGATGCTCCACATCACTAATCATTGAGAAATGCAAATCAAAACCACAATGAGCTATTACCTCAAGACAGTCAAAATGTCTAGTGTTATTTAACAAAAGTTGGTAAAGATGTGGAGTAAAAGGAATCATTGTACACCATTGGTGGGAATGCAAATTAGTACAGCCACTATGGAAAACGGTGTGCTTATTGCAACATTACTTCCAATAGCCAAGATACAGAAGCATACTAAGTGTCCATCGATAGAGACATGGATAAGGATGATATGGCACACACACACACACGAGAATATTATGCAGCCATAAAAAGAAGAAATCATGTCATTTGCAACAGCATGAATAGACCTAGAGGGAATTATTGTAAGTGAAATAACTCAGACTGAGAAAGACTAATACCATATGATTTCATTCATATGTGGGTGGAATCTAAAAAGAAATTAATAAACAATAATTTAATAAACAAAAAGCAGAATCAGACCTCTTAATACAGAGAAAAACATAGTTACCAGAGGGCAAGGACATAAGGAATTGGAAAGGTGAGTGAAGAAGAATGGGAGATACAGTCTTCCAGTTGTGAAATGAATAAGTCATGAGAATAAAAAGCACAGCATAAGGAATATAGTCAATGATATTTTAATAGCATTGTAATGTGACTGGTAGTCGTTATATTTGTGGTCAGCATAGCATACTGTATAAATTTGTGGAATCACTATGTTGTACACCTGAAACTAATGTAATTTAGTTTGTAAACCACACTTAAATTTAAAAACAAGAATAAAGAAAGAAGTAAGACATGGAGAAAATTGTAGGAGTGCATATAACAAAGCAGGAGAGCTTGAGATGTGGAATGTGGAAAGATTCCCCCATGCTGTAACCTCATGGAATCGAAACGGTAATACCTGTAAAGGCAAATTAAATCTTTAAATAATAACGTTTGAAAATGCATTTTCTTACCAAAAATACAATAGAGAAAAAGAAACAACAACAAAAATAATGAGCAAACTTTTAAAAAAATTTTATTGTTATGTTAGTCACCATACACCATTAGGTTTTTTGTTTTTTGTTTTTTAATTTTATTATGTTATGTTAGTCACCATACAATACATCATCAGTTTTTGATGTAGTGACCCACGATCCATTGTTTTCATATAACACCCAGTGCTCCATGCAATACATGCCTTCCTTAATACCCATCACTGGGCTAAGCCATGCCCCCACCCCCCTCCCCTCTAAAACCCTGTTGGTTTCTCAGAGTCCATAGTCTCTTATGGTTCATCTCTCCTTCCGATTTCCCTCCCTTCATTTTTTCCTTCCTTCTCCTAATATCCTCCATGCTATTCCTATGTTCCACAAATAAGTGAAACCATATGATAATTGACTTTCTCTGCTTGACTTATTTCACTTAGCATAATCTAAGTGGAAGGGGACCCTCCAGTCCCATCCATGTGGATGTAAAAGTTGGGTATTCATCCTTTCTGATGGCTGAGTAATATTCCATTGTATATATGGACCACATCTTCTTTATCCATTCATCTGTTGAAGGGCATCTTGGCTCTTTCCACAGTTTGGCTATTGCGGACATTGCTGCTATGAACATTGGGGTGCATATGGCCCTTCTTTTCACTACATCTGTGTCTTTGGGATAAATACCCAGGAGTGCAATTGCTGGGGCACAGGGTAGCTCTATTTTTAATTTTCTGAGGCACCTCCACACTGTTTTGCAAAGTGGCTGTACCAACTTGCATTTCCCCCAACAGTGTAAGAGGGTTCCCCTTTCTCCACAACCTCTCCAACATTTGTTGTTTCTTTCCCTGTCCATTTTTGCCATTCTAACTGGTGTAAGGTGGTATCTCAATGTAGTTTTGATTTGAATTTCCCTGATGTCTAATGATGATGAACATTTTTTCATGTGTCTGTTAGCCATTTTTATGTCTTCTTTGGAGAAGTGTCTGTTCATGTCTTCTGCCCATTTTTTGACTTGATTATTTGTTTTTTAGGTGTTGAGTTTGAGAAGTTCTTTATAGATCTTGGATACCAGCCCTTTATGTGTAGTGTCATTAGCGAATATCGTCTCCCATTCTGTGGGTTGCCTCTTTGTTTTGTTGACTGTTTCCTTTGCTGTGCAGGAGGCTTTTATCTTGATGAAGTCCCAAAAGTTCATTTTTGCTTTTGTTTCACTAGCTTTTAGAGATGTATCTTGAAAGAAGTTG